ATATTCTGGATAACTAAGCAATCTGAGCTGTATTTCTGCTGTTACTTTGTGATGCTTTTCAGTCCTGCAAGAGGTTCTGTTTGAAAAAATGCATTATGGAACAACCTCAATACACACAACAAAACTGCTGGATTAATACACATCCTGCACATCTGCAGGAAGGAGCCTGAAAGCAGCTCCTCAGTTCTTAATTAACTTTTCCTTGTTCTACTTTCAGACTCCTCATCTTGTAAACCTTAATGAAGATCCACTCATGTCTGAGTGTCTGTTGTACTACATCAAAGATGGCATTACAAGGTGAGGATTGGTGCTAACACACTCTGAAGTTTGTTGCTTTGCTTCCTTCAATCCCCACAGTGGGTTTAAATAACAATTGTGCCTTGAGCTGTTCAACTTGCAGGTCCAAGTGAGGTGTGAGAGTGCTGTAGGTGGAGAAAAGTGTTCTTTTAAGTTGGTTTTGTATGTTAGAAGTGATGTATGCAGTCAGTCAGCTTTATAAGAGGTTCATTACTACACTTGGGCAGTGAAAGGAAAGTATGAAATCCCCTCTGGGGGGTAGGAAAACAAGAGTTGTAAAACTTACTGAAAATTCCTTGGAGATTTTGGTGGGTGCAGGATTGAAAACCATAACAACTGGAGTATGGATGAGTGTTCACTTCATTGGTTAAATAAACTGTTCCCCATGTTTCTGCACAATTCATACATTCTGCATTCATGTATGAGATGAAATTAATTGCCAGATCTGGAATTTAAAATGGATTTTATTCCACTTGTAAAACTTACTGAAAATTCCTTGGAGATTTTGGTGGGTGCAGGATTGAAAACCATAACAACTGGAGTATGGATGAGTGTTCACTTCATTGGTTAAATAAACTGTTCCCCATGTTTCTGCACAATTCATACATTCTGCATTCATGTATGAGATGAAATTAATTGCCAGATCTGGAATTTAAAATGGATTTTATTCCACAGTTGTCAGCGTTCACATATGAGATGAAATTAATTGCCAGATTTGGAATTTAAAATGGATTTTATTCCACAGCTTGGTTGTCAGGAAAGCTGGAAGAAGAGGTGATTTTAACTATCTTTGGAGCACCAAACTGGGTTTGGTTGCTTAGTTTGTCTATTCATGGGGAAGAAAGTAGGAGAGTACAGACAGGTACCTGGTACTACTCTAAAATGCATTTTACCTACTGAAAGGAATATCAGATTGTAAAGAGTTCAGCACAGAATGATGAATAGAATAGCTTAGGGCTTAAGAAACAAATTTTGAGCCTAGCTAGATGACATCAGAAATGTGTAGAGTAATAAGCAGAGCAAGAAGTTCATAAACATTAGGATTTAAAATTAAGTTGTCTGGGTGTAGAATTGCTCAAGTACTTGAGTTTGGAATGGACATAAATCTTCATGCTCCAGGGATACAGCCAAGCTCTCCCTGTCTGGAAGCTGCATGAAACTGCTCGTGGCATCAAATTATTCAGCAAGAGTCTCCTGAGCCATTTTTGCTGCTTTGTTCAAGTGCAGATGGTGATAATGGGGAGAGCTGATGCTGTTTGCCAGCTGAAATGCACCACTGGAAGCTCTTGTCAATTTTCTTTTTCCTTCTGTGTCCCTTCCTGAGAGGAGAAGAGAGTACACAAGAGGGAAGGAAATACATTCAATCCAGAGGTGTTTAACATTCCAGTTCTGTCTTTAAGTTACATGTTTTAAGAGAGAAAACTTCTCTTTTATTTGGCTGTTCTCCAGTTCATGGGAAAGCTGCAGGTTCTCTACAGTGCAGAATGAAGTGCTAATTCAAACTTTTAAACTTGAAGGATAGTCTTAAGAGTTTAGACTTTCTGGTGGGTGTTCCTGGGATGCATTTTCCTTTGTAGAAAGTGTCTGATTTGCCCTTGCAATGTGTTATGTTGGCCCCAGGGTTGGCCAGGCTGATGCTGAGCGAAGACAAGACATCGTGTTGAGTGGGGCTCACATCAAGGAGGAGCACTGCATCTTCAGAAGTGAGAGGAACAACAATGGGGAAGGTAAAAAACTGCTTCTCCTAGCAAAGTATTGCAGAATCTTCACTTGATAGCTGGCCAGGGAATACTGGGATTTGCAAGTTTCTCTGACCTTGAGACAAAGATCAGTTTTTACTTGCTGTTTTCTTGAGTCATGGAGGAAGATGATGATATTAGTTTAAGTGATAATAGCTTCAAATTGTGGCTGCAGCCAATATGACAGTTAAGTTCTGACCTTGGCTAACGATAAACATGAAAAAAGCAATTTCCAATTGCAATATGTGGAGATGTCACTGGTATTGATTGCCTCGTGGGGCTTTGACCAGTCTGACATCCAGCAGTGATTCACTGTTTTGGTGTTAGCATGAAGATAGGCAGAAAATGAGAGACCTCTGGAGCTTGCACATTGCGGTTTCTGTGCAGGGCTTGCACTCATCAGTGTCATTTTCTTTGCAGTTATTGTTACTTTGGAGCCTTGTGAACGATCAGAAACCTATGTCAATGGCAAGAGGGTTGTGCAGCCTGTGCAGCTGCGCTCAGGTAAGCAGTGGTGCAGTGGATTTTGTGGTAGACTCTCCATACATGGCATTTACATCATATCATAAAATCAGCCAGGTTGGAAAAGACCTCCAAGATCATGGAGTCCAACCCTACCATGGTCACTAGACCATGGCACTAAGTGCCACATCCAGTCTCAGCTTGAAAACCTCCAGGGATGGTGAATCCACCACCTCCCTGGGCAGCACATTCCAATGCCTGAGCACTCTCTCTGTAAAAAATCTCTTCCTAATATCCAACCTAACCCTCCCCTGGCAGAGCTTGAGTCTGTGCCCTCTTGTCCTGCTGCTGGTTGCCTGGGAGAAGAGACCAACCCCCACCTGACTCCAACCTCCTGTCAGGGTGATAGAGAATGCTAGGTGTAGTGGAAGTTCAGCAGTGTCACCTGTCTGGAGTGCAGCTTTTAAACACAAGTTGGTATCATTCTGCTCTCAGCTGCAGTTTGTTTTCTTTCATCCTTTGCTGCACTAGCTCTGAGTGTACTTACATATTCAGTGCCACACAGCATCCTGCTTGTCCTCCTGCTTACCCTGATATTATTCAAATACATTCTTGCCCAAGCCTATTGCCCTTGGCAGTCTCAGTGAGACACAGCAGACAGACTGCCAGTTGCTGATGGAAAATTCCCAGTTTCCTGGCAAAGCTTCGATATGACCCTCTGCAGGAGTACAACAGCTTCTCTTTGCTCTCATTAGGTTTCCCACTCAGTCCCCTACATTCCTTTACAAAAGCATGTGGGGGAAGAACTAGAGAGGAGGGAGTGACTGCCCTAAGTTGTGGGTTTTCACTTGTCTCTTTCAAGCTGTGAAGCTTTCTGTGCTCCTCCCTCATTTTTCTACTGGTGAAAAATCAAAACCTAAGCAGAGAAAACCCACCTCTGTGTTATTTCTACCAGGTTAGAAGACAAATGTGGCCAGTGGAGGAAGAACTTGCTGTTCTCTGCCTGCACACTGAATGCCATGCCTGGACAATTTAGTAATTACTTTCTCTTTAAGAAAGTACATTTTTTTTCCTTCTGCATCCAGACAATTGAGTTACTAGAATAATATAGACTTGGTCTATGACATCTCTAAGAGGCTCTATTTTAGTCATGTATTGAGAAGGACAATTTTGGTTACTTTGGAGGTCTATTTAATAAAGCACCTGGTTAAAATTTTAACTCCATTAATATGTTCTCTGGAAGAACAGAGGCATTTTACTCTCTTCCAACCACACATATCTCAGGCTTTGTGGACATCAGGATTCAGCCAGAAGACTTAACAATATTAAATTTTTTCAGCTCTTTTGCTGTTAGTGTAAAATAAGCTAAAATCCTTCCCTAAATCCCACTGGTTAGGACTCCAATGAAATCAATACCTTGAAAGAAGATTTTAAAGGAGAGTAAGCACCATGTATTCCAGTGTTTGCAGTTAGGCTTTTCCAGGCTGAAAATTCTGCTGAAGTGGCTTTTGCCTGTGTTTTGGCACTGTCACTGGGAGGAGGAATGAGATTTAGTGATGGGTTTGATTTGCTGCAGTTGGTCACTCTCTCAGGTTCATCCTTTAAGTTTTTATAAACTCTGCTGGGATATTAGATTGGACCTCTGAGGGTGGTGATGTCCTCTGGGCTCTTCTTACCCGCAGTGACTGTTCTGTGCAAACTCTTTTTGTCCCATAGTTAACTGGAATGGACACAGAAATCCCTATAGGACAATCTTGTGCTGTCACCCAATGTGATAAATGGGGTGCACCATTCAGTGAGGTTTTCCAATGCTTTTGTATCCTTACCTGAAAGTGTTCAACTTCTGTTCTTGTTTCTAGGAAATCGTATCATCATGGGCAAAAATCATGTCTTCAGGTTCAACCACCCAGAGCAAGCACGAGCAGAGCGAGAGAAAACGCCGTCGGCCGAGACTCCCTCGGAGCCAGTGGACTGGACATTTGCTCAGAGGGAGCTCCTGGAGAAGCAAGGCATTGACATGAAGCAGGAAATGGAGAAAAGGTAACAAAACCACTCAAAATTTCTCCCTAAAGCCAAGAGCAGTCAGCAGTAGGTTACTAGGTTCTGCATGGGATCTCTCCTAGCTATTGTGGAAGTTCAGAAAGCTGAATTTATTGTACTGTGGTATTTCAGTGCTCTAATTCCTTTAAAAATCACAGGTAAGCACCTGCCACTAACCCTCCAGACCTTGTAGTGAGCTGCAGCTTATAGGGAGGGTCACTTCTGTGGCACTTGAATAGGCAGAGAACAGTCCTTTTGGGGGCAGTGACTTATACTCCTGTAACTGTAGCTCAGTAGAGTAACACCAGCATGACAGTAATGACCTCTGACTACTTGTGTTCTCTTCTTCATCTTCAGGTTACAAGAAATGGAGATTTTGTATAAGAAAGAGAAGGAGGAAGCTGATCTCTTGTTGGAGCAGCAAAGACTGGTAGGTGTCCTTATTTCTGATTAACTATACCTTTGGCAAACAGTAATTCCTGTCCTTGCTTATCTGAAAGTTTAGGAATCCTGCTTGGGTTGTCTGCACAATGCAGTTCTCCCTTTGCTTTCAAATTCTTTGTGTCTACAGTGAATTTTCAGCAGTGTGAGTGAGCTCCTTCATGTTCATTCAGAGACTGTGATTGGCAATGAAGAGCCTTTAAATCAGTTCTTGTTGGGATGGTTCACATTTCTCTCAACCTGAAAAAAAAGGGCATTTTTGTGCTCTGTGTTCTTTGAAGTGCCTTTTCAGTAGTCTAAACAGCTACTCCTTGCGATGTTTGCCTTTATTTTTGTCTTGGATCACCAGAACATACTAATTCTGTGCTGCCAAAGAGATTCCTTGAACATTGATCACTAGGTTTATGATTTGAATGATGTCTGAAAACGTTGCTGCATTGTGCATGTTTTAACCCTTCTCCCTCCCCTGCATGGAGTTCCTTGTGAGGGTCTCAGTGGTACACATTGCAGTTGGGGGGTTGTGCCTAGGGAGCAAAGGGCATGTTGATTCAGAACAATGGGAATTCCACCATTCCACATATTTCTTAAGTAGGAAGTTGGATAAATCCTGTCTGATCTAGGAAGTCTTAAGTTCCTACAGCAAGTGTCTCTGAAGTGCATTGCAAACAGAACTGGATGCAGTCTGCAACACCTGAATTTAAAAATGAGGCCAAGCCCAGGAATGAAATCTAGATTTCCTTAAGCAATCTCAGTCTCCTCCTTTAGCTTGTCCTAAGCTAGAGCACAAATGTAGCTGTGCCTGAATTCTGATAAACATTTCAAAATCATGAGTTGTTTGTTTGGAGTATGGGACTGAGACACAAAAACTGTGGGTTGAATTCATGCTGAGCTTTAAACTGTAGAGCTCTTCCCCTTCTCCCCAAACCAGAATGGAGCAAAGTCCTGTGGCTTCCAGAGGAAGAAGCTACATACTTTATTTTTCAGTTTATATCACACACTTAAAAACTTCTGCATCTCTAATTATGTCATTGCCAGGGACTCACTCTTGGATGGAGAGGAGTGGCTGCAGGCTTTGAACCAAAGCAACACTTAGTTGACAAAGGAAGTTAAAATGTGACTAATGTAATGTTTCATCTCTGGACTTTCTCAGTTCAAATTGGTGTAGCTGAAAGTAGTCCAGCAAAAATCAGTTCAATGTGAAAACAAACATAGTTTGAGTATGGAACAGCTTTTGGCAATGTGTCAAATGAGATGCAAGTAATGGAATTCCCTCCCTTAAATTTTAGCTGACAGGCATAAGCTCAGCTATTGTATGAATTAAAGATGTGAAATTGGCTGTCAGAGAAGCTTCTTCCAATAAGGCTGTGTGTACACAAGTGTTGTGAAGGGAATTTGTTTCCCCAAATACTTCAGGTTAAGGGAAGGTTCTTTAGGCAGTTGGTTAATACTGTAATAAAGGTGTTGATTTCTTCAGGCTTGTTTTGTTCTGGCTGGTTTCAGTTGGTGGGCAAAGGTGGAATTCTATCCTACAGCCATCAGCAGTTCCTGAAGGACACCTCTCCTAGTTGTAAGGGATCATATCAAACAGGATCCTGGTCACTGAGCAGTGTCCTGCTTGGCACACAGTGCTCTGTAAGAATATTTCAGGTGACAGCAGAAGTTCAAGACACAACTCCTTTCCATGTCATCGTGTGCAGGGCCTGGACTGGGCAGGGCCAGTGCATCCCACAGCTGTAGCTGAGTGGTGAGTGGGAAACCTGGGAATGCATTTCAGCCTGTGTACCTTGTGTTTCCTTTGCTGCCATACCCAGCTGCAGGATCAGGTTCTCAAGCATACTGCTGTGTGAGACTGATAGTGAAGTAGGAACGTTCCTCTTGGTCTAAATTGGAGGGTAATCTTGGATCTAAGAAGCTAATCCTGTTTATCAGATTGTTTTGGGTTTATGCTGAGATTCCAACCAGTTTGGGTGGTTGTTTGTTAGATGTGCTGTTCAAAAAAGATACACAGTTGTTCTTGTCCCCCAAAATTTACAGCTGAACTCTATTTGCCTTGCTAGTATTGCTAGGGAATAGAAATAGCTGTTCTCCACTTAATAAGTGAATGTGCAAATGTGTTTAATAGAGCTAAAATGGTCTTCCTGGTTTTCTTGGTCAGAATGCCTCAGCAGTGACCACCTGGTATTAGAATTTGGGTTTATAGCTGTACTGATTGGTCTGGATAACCTCTGAGTGCACCCAGGGCAATGACACAGTGTCTCTTCATCAGCTTTGGATACCAAGACATGCTTTACCCATAAGTAGTTCTGTGGTAATTTTGTAAGCATCAGAATCCTCTGGAACTTGTGACCTCGTGTTGAAGTAGTTCATGATTTGCCTTTCTGGTCATTTCCTGATGTGGTCAGAGAGCACAGAGTCTTCCTCCAGGGCACCTTTGGTTTCCACTGCAATATGCAGTTTGGTAGATGCTGTTTCCTTAGGCCACAAATTTTGTCAGCTGGAAACTCACAGAGAGTTGATACTCTATTTCTAAACCAGTGTTTTCCTTACATTTTGACCTCAAGTAAAAGTTGATTCTTAAGTCACAAGAAGCTCAAATAGGACCATAGGACAGAACAGCATTTCCTTTGCCCCTTTTCATCATCCCAAACCAGATTGTATTCCCCTTTCTTCGTGGTCTTCTACCCAAAGCCTGAAGTCCAGGAACCTGTGGTTCTGCCCCAATGACCTGGGTGTCCTTGGGATTTAGAGTAACTGGCTGTTTGCTCCTGGTTCTCCTATATTCTAAGTCTCCATGTGGAAAACAGGGATGTTAGTTAGAGGCTCTTTAGCCGCCGCTGCCTGTGTTGAATTGAAGATGTTTGGACTATTTTGCTTGTTAAAGAGATGTCTTATCTTAATAATCCTTTAAAGAAAAGTGGTCTGGCTTGAATTCCTGGTTGCAGTAAGCAATAATGGATATCCTTAACTTGTGGTGGAACAAACATTCCTAGCAGATGGAAACCTGAAGCACTGCTCATTAAAAGCCACTTAGCAAAAGGTGGAAAACTTGTAATGAAGAAGCAAAACACTGATAATGCTTAGCAAGTGTGTGGAAGCTCCAGGCTCTAGGGTTTGAGAAGAAGACAAATCAAGGATTATCAAATAGAGAATTTGCATTAAAACCATTTAAAAAACCAAAAGTCCTTACTCTACATTCTGCTGAAACTCATTCACCGGACAGACACGGCTGATCATGGTTTTCTCTTTAAACTAAGCAACAAGGTGCCAAATGGGAAAAAACCCCACCCCAAACCACAACCCACCTCTGAAACTCTGGTTCTGGATGTCCTTTTAGCTTGTAGCAAGTCTCGGAGTATGAAGCACTGTCTTCACCTGTCATAGTGGCACTTACAGTCCTTTTAACATTGAACCTTTCGGCTGCTTCTGTTTCATTTTTCCTTGTCGTCTAACACTTCTCTGGCTGCTATTGTAGTGAAGTGGATTCTAAACTTGAGCACTCCTGAACCACGTGCAACGTTACTAACCAGTGTTAACCCGACTTACTCTGGCTGCTCATGACATCTTCTCTGATGGCTGTTGTGTTCACCTACCTGGGGAGGATTTGCTGAAAGAAGCCACAGCAGTCACCAAGGCAAATGTGTGTGGAGGGGATGTGCATGTCTCTGTAGCATGTGTGAAGTGCAGTTGACACTTGGGTTTAAATTTTTTTAAGTCAGGAACTTGGTTTGAGTTGGTCTGTTTTAAGATTTTTTTTTTTTAATCTTTTTTTTTGAAGGGATTGGGAGGGAAGGGTTTAGATTTGCTGCTGTTTTGAGATGACAAGACTTGTAAATATAATGTTAATCTTAAGGTAGTGAAGAGCTCCAAGTGTGACAGTCCATGACTCTTGAAGATACATTTTAATGCCCTAACACTCAGTCTTCAGGGACTTCCTTATCACTTGTTCTATTTTGATTTTTGATTTAGTTTTCTTTGCCTGCTACTTCTTGTTTAGCTTTTCCATTTTCTTACAATTTTAATTTTGGTTATTTTGGGGCCACTTCTTGATTTTTGTTTTTCCAAAGGATGCAGACTCTGATAGTGGGGATGATTCGGACAAGAGATCGTGTGAGGAGAGTTGGAGACTGATCACTTCCCTGAGAGAGAAGCTGCCCCCCAGCAAGCTCCAAACCATTGTAAAAAAGTGTGGCCTCCCCAGCAGTGGGAAGAAACGAGAACCCATTAAAATGTACCAGATACCCCAACGCCGACGCCTTAGCAAAGACTCCAAATGGGTCACCATCTCAGACTTAAAGATTCAGGCTGTGAAGGAGATATGCTATGAGGTAGCACTCAATGACTTCAGGCACACTAGGCAGGAGATTGAGGCACTGGCCATTGTTAAAATGAAGGAGCTTTGTGCCATGTATGGGAAAAAAGACCCAAATGAGCGTGAATCCTGGCGAGCCGTGGCTCGGGATGTCTGGGATACAGTGGGAGTCGGAGATGAGAAGATCGAAGATGTGATGGCCAACGGCAAAGGAATAACTGACGTGGATGACCTAAAGGTGCACATAGACAAATTGGAAGATATTTTGCAAGAAGTGAAGAAGCAGAACAACATGAAGGATGAAGAGATCAAAGTTCTCCGAAATAAGATGCTCAAAATGGAGAAGGTTTTACCCCTGATAGGGTCTCCAGAGAAAGCTCAGTCCACCCTAGCTAAGTCTCCAAACTCCACGGACGTGGATAAGAAGGCCACGGATGACCTAAAGAACGATGATCTTGCCAAGGAGGAACGCGTGTCTCAGCTGATGGCAGGTGACCCAGCCTTCAGGCGCGGACGCTTACGTTGGATGAGGCAAGAACAGATTCGGTTTAAAAATCTGCAGCAGCAGGAAATAGCCAAACAGCTTCGTCGCCAGAACATGCCCCACCGGTTTATCCCACCTGAGAATCGCAAGCCTCGCTTCCCTTTCAAAAGCAACCCCAAGCACAGGAACTCCTGGA